AATAAGTGATGTTGTTGGCACCTCTGTGAGAGCAGATTTAAGAAAGAGAAAAAACTGTTGTGCAACAGCAGCTGGGAGAGTGAGGAATGAGAAAACAGCCCTGCAGTCCCCAAGGTCAGAGTAGAAGGAGGGCAGGAGATGCTCCAGGCCTGGAGCAGCAGTTCCCCTGTGGCCTGTGGAGAGGTCCCTAGTGGAGCAGGCTGTCCCCCTGCAGCCCATGGGTCCCACATGGAGCAGATCTTCATGCTGCAACCCGTGGAGGAGCCCCTGGTAGAGCAGGTGGATGTGGCCTGGAGGAGGCTGCGGCCCATGGAGAGCCTCCACAGGAGCAGGCTCCGGGCCGGAGCTGCAGCCCATGGAGAGGAGCCCACGCAGGAGCTGGGGGGAGCTGCCACCCATGGGGGACCTGTGCGGGAGCAGTTTGCTCCTGGGGGATGGACCCCATGGTATGGAGCCATGTGGGAGCAGTTCTTGAAGAGCTGCTGCCAGTGGGAAGCCCCCGCAGCCTCAGTTCGGGAAGAACAGCATCCCGTGGGAGGGACCCCACGTGGAGCAGGGGCAGAGAGGGACCATGAAGGAGCGGCGGAGAAGAAGGATTTGTGACTGACCACAGCCCTCATTCCCTGTTGCCCTGTGCCACTCAGGAGGAGGACATAGAAGAGGGTGGATGGGGTGAAGGTGTTTTTAGTTTGCTTTTATTTTCTCAGTGCTCTAGCTTGTTAATAACAGACAATAAATTACATCAAACTCCTTATGCTGAATCTTGTTTACCCATGACCATAATTGTTCTTATGTCAACCCCTGACGTGTTTTCATCATATTTTCTCCTCCTTTTCCTTTGAGGAAGGGGAATGAGAGAGTGGTTGTGGTGGAACTCAGCTGCTCAGCTGAGTAAATCCACCACAGAATCTTATAGTTGAAAACAACAAAAACTAACAACAATAACAATAAATAAATAAATAAATAAAAGCAACACAACAAAACAACAACAAAGCAAACACAAACAAACAAAATCAACTCAAGATTCTCTTGGAAAAACTTGGAAAAACCCTACAAGTTATGGAACTGGAGAGAAAAAGGCTCAAGGAGAGCTGGTTGATTTTTAAGGATCACCTCCTCAAAGTTCAGGAACAGTCCATCCCTATGTACAGGAGGTGACGGGATCTAGACAAACAGGGAGCTCCAGAAAAATAATGTAGAAAAGAAGCATATAAGAGGTAGAATCTGGAACAGGTAGCCTTGGAAGATAGATGGAAGATAGAGATACAGTCTAGAGTGTACAGGGATAGGGCTAGGAAAGCCAAAGCCCGTATGGAGTATAATCTAGCAAGGGATATAAGGGGCAACAAGAAGGGCATCTACAAGTATATCAGCAGCAAAAGGAACAGTAGGGAAACTATGAGTTCATTGTTTGACTTTCAAGTCTCCTATAGTATCCTTATAGACAAACTGATGAAGCGTTGGCTAGATGAGTGGACAGTGACACTGACTGAAAACTGAACTGATGGATTTAAAAGGTTGTGATCAGCATCAAAAAGTCCATCTGGAGGCCAGTCCCTAGTGGTATACCCCAGGGGTCTATACTGGGGCCAGTAAGGTTTGACATCTTCATTAATGACCTGGGTGATGGGACAGAGAACTCCAGCAAATTTGTAGTCTGTATAAAACTTGGAGGAGTGGCTGGTACACTGAATAGGATTGCTGCCATTCAGGGGGTCATTCACTGGAGAACTGGGCTGAGAGGTATCTTGTGTTCTGTGAAAGTAATGTCACAGTCCTGCACCTGGAGAGGAATAACCCCGTGTACCAGTATGCAGTAGGGGCCATCCAGTTGGAAAGCAGCTTTGCAAAGAAACACCTGGTAGACGACAAGTTGAGCATGAGACAGCAATGAGCCCTCACAGCAAAGAAGGTCAACAGCTTCCTAGGCTTCACTAGGAAAAGCATTGCTATTATTGCTATTGGGTTGACAGAGGAGATCCTTCCTCTCCACTCAGCACTGGTAAGGCACATCTGGAAGGCTGGTTCCAGTTCTGGGCTTCCTAGTGCAAGAAGGACAAGGACAAACTGGAGCATGTTCAGTGAAGGGTCTAGAGTTTCTTTCACATGGAGTGAGGCTGAAAGAGTTAGGAGTGTTTAACCTCTAGAAGAAAAAGTCTCAGGGGGGTCTTATCAGTGTGTATAAATACCTGATTTAGGGTAGGGTGTAAAAACAGAGACAGACTCTTCTCAGTGGTGTCCACTGAAAGGACAAGAGGCAATAGGGACAAACTGAAATATAGGAAATTTTGTTTAATCATAAGAAAACAACAAGGGTGGTTGAACACTGGAACACATTTCCTAGGAAGGCTGTGGAGTCTCCATCCCTGGAGATATTCAAAACCTGACTAGACAGAGGTCTGTGGTTGACCCTGCTCAGAACACAGGTCAGACTAGATGATCTTCAGAGGTTCATTCCAATCTCAACTGTCGTGTCATTTTGTGATAGGCCTTAGAAAGTTTTAGTATTAGAATGACTGATAGGAATTTTAAAAGAAAGCACTGTGAATGTTGCAATATTTTCCACTTGAGGAAAAAAAAAAAAAAAAAAAAAAGAATAAAAGACTGCACCATTGCCACCCTCTTGGGTGCCTCTCAATTAAAAACTGATATTCGTTTGAAGTAATTCTTTCAGAAATCCCAGTGTGACTGAGGCTATTATAAAAGCTTTTGTTTACATGCATTAAATTACAACAGTTTTCCAAGAAATCTGTTTTCATTCAGTTATTTACTCTCAAAAACAGGTTTCTTGAGACCAGGGAGAAAGACTGCTTGTGACCATATGGAATCTTCTGACCATCACAGCTTCTCCTTAGAAGTTCCTATCTATCTGTCTTTCACAAATGCAAATCAGTGTGACTCCGTAACACTTTCTAAAGCAATAAAAGTTTATAATGGATTTGGAGGCCACTACATGAGAAATTAATACTTTCCCACCATCCCACCACACTTCCCCTTCTCTTCCCACCCCCCCCCAAAAAAAAAAAAAAAAAAGGAAAACAAAACAAAAGCTATATAGTTGCACTTGAGCTAAAATGTGGTGGTTACATGAGAGTGGAAAAGAAAGGGTACTGAAGTTGGAGCTAATTCCAGGCATTTAGTGGTCATAAGTATTATATAAGCCTGTAAATTAAAGACTGTATAACTCATAAACCCAACCTCCCCCACCTTCTCTTTGTGTGGGGTTTTGGGTGTTGTTTTTTGTTTGTTGATTTATACATACATACATATATATATATAAGATATAAGATATATCTATATCTATATCTTCAATTATATATATATATATATATAATTGAAGATATAGATATAGATATATATCTTTTATATATATATATATATATATATATATATATATATATATATATATATTTTATTATAATATATATATATATATATATATATATATATATATATATATATATATATATATATTATATTATATATATATATATATATATATATATATATATATATATAATTGAAGACAAATTCCACTTTCAACTATTAGAAAATCTCCACCCCCACCTCCCCATTGTTGGGAATCTCTGGAAAGGCCAAATGCTGGTTGCAGGGATGCAGGGGACAGAGCAGTAGTTGCAATATCCACTGCCCTCTGGAGGAGAGCACGTCTGTGCTGCTGGAATCCTTCCGCCAATGTGGGCTGTAATATATTGTATGCTTGTGTTGTGGTTTTTCCTAACAAATGGGGATTAAAACTGGAAACTACTTAATGGTGCAAAAAATTAACAAAGTCCCTAAAGGCTTGGAAATTTAAATTTGAGTTTGTATGCACTGATATTCAGTGGTATGTTATGTTAATTCATGTCCTGTTTTTATGTCTTATTATGAGAAATGTCACTTATTATAGAAGAGAAAAATCTGTCAGATATGATCAATGACTTCATGTCTATGACAGTAGCCTTTCTGTAGCCACACAGGTCCAGATTTAATGAAACAAAGTTTTTAGGGAGACATAATGTCTTTCTTTGAGAAAAAAAATAATGGCACAGGTGGAAAAAGCCGATGCCTTTCAGGCACTAATCTACAATTTTTAAATTCAGAGATACTGAAATATATAGAGATGAGTAGGGCATAATTGATGAATATTTGTACTCATTTACTTAATAAACTGGAGAACTAAATTCAAACTAAATCTTTAACTACAGAGATTCCCATGCTATAAAAAAGTGGGATAGGAAAAATAATGAATGATGAGCCAACTCCAAAGCTGCTGAGAAAATATTAAAATGTCATAACTCTTCAGATTTACAGAACCATTTTCATTTTTTTCATAGCATTTCAGACTTATAAACATAATTTCAACACCAGAAACAAAAGTACTTCCATATAGTACTTTTAAATGCTGTTACAAAAATTTAAATATGAAGCTAAGCTGTCCTGCTACAAAAAAAAAGTTGCCCTTGTGATTACAAACCAGAGATTCCAGTGTTGGTACATAAAAACTTAAGAAAGTGACAGTATACAGCAATAAAAATGATTGGTCTTTTTATTTATTTATTTATTTATTATGGAAGGTGCAAACACAGAGAGCCAGCAATAATAGGAAAAAAAAAAAGATTTTTAAGTTTCTTTTTTTTTTTTTTTTTTGTAAAATGAAAAATTGGTGTGTTTTAACAAAAAAAAAAAAAAAAAAAAGTGTAACAAGTGTTTCTTTTCAAATCAAATCCCTTTGAAAAAGAAAGGCTGAGAGAGCTTGGGCTGTTCAACCTAAAGAAGAGAAAGCTCTGGGGTGACTTCATTGCAGTTTTTCAGTACTGACATGGTTCTAAACTAAAAGAGGGGAGATTTAGATTAGAGGTTAGGAGGAAATTCTTCGCTCAGAGGGTGGTGAGGCACTGGAATGGGTTGCCCAGAGAAGCTGTGGATGCCCCCTTCCTGGAAATGTTCAAGACCAGATGGGGTGAGGCACTGAGCAACCTGATCTGGTGGATGACATCCCTGCCCATGGCAGGGGGTTGGAACTAGATGATCTTTAAGATCCCTTCCAACACAAGCCATTCTATGATTCCATCATATCATTCAATATGATTCTATGATCCACATGATAGGAAAAACTTAGGACCAGGCAAAGTATATAGTCACTAAGAACAGCGGTCCTCCCTCCCTCCCTCCCCCGGAAACTGCATGGTTTCTCTCTGCCTCTTTCCACAACGCAGCACTCTGCTGAAACATCACAGATCATGCCTGCAACACATGTTGCTCTCCAAATCCTGCCCTGGCTTTTCTAGTTCCTCATCCACCCCACCCTTACCAACCACTCTTAGTCCTCAGCACTTCCCTGCATATACCCCTTGAATCTTATGTCATTGCCACAAAATTCAGTTTTGCTCCCAGGTGGAGGCTCAGAATAGTAGAAGTGAATGTGAAGACTGAAAATACTTGAGTGGGTTCTGGCACTACACGAGGAATTGTATAATTCAGTTAGGAATGAGATCTGAAGAGCCCTATTCAGCCTATGAATCATTTACTCAAAAGACTACAATAGATACCAGGCAGAAAGTAGTATGAATACAGGGAAGAAAAAAAAAAAAAAAAAAAAAGTTAAAAAAAAAGGCAGCCTCAATCCTGCAAACACTTATGCATGTACTTAATGTAATGTGGATGAATATTGATTTCAATGGGAGTGCTTATATGCATAAAGCAAGGCATATGCATACTTATAGGATCAAGGCCAAGATTGTTAAGTACTGCAAGCTGAGCTTTAATGACTGATAAAGCAACTTAGAATACACAAAACTGTGACAAAGAGATATTTGGGATGCCTGGATATTCTTAGTGCTTATAAAATGTTATCGCTGTTCTCAGTCTGAAATAAGAAAAATAATTTGTTAGTAAACTAATGACAATCACTTAAAAATTAGAATATAATATAGTATATGAGCAAAAGGAGCACACATATGTGGCTAAATAATTCTACTTCCTGCTAGAATGCATCCATTTCTGTTAATATGGCAGCTATTGAAAAAAAGCACAAAAACATAACAGTTTATGTCAAGAAGGTGAATGATCCTCCTATTTGCTACCGCCAGGGAAAATTAAAAATGGAATGGAATTGCTTACAACAGTATTCATCCTCCAAGTGTACAGACTAGGAGTTGCAAAGCCAATGGGTACTTGTGTTAGACTCTACAGCTGAAACAAGCTCAGTTTTAATGTAGATGGACATTCTGGCTGTGCAAATTATCTCATGCTCTGTGGCATGAAACATTGATCTAACATTTTATTGAAATTAATTTTTTTCTTCAGCTTTCTATAAAAAAGTATGGATGTGAAATGGTTTGTGGAAATGCATGCCCTAGTTTCTTCTTAAATGCTCTCCCGGAGACTGTTTAATTGCATAACCAAAATGACAGTGTGGGACAGTGACTGGTAATTTAATGCTGAAGACTTTGAAAATCTTAATCTTAATTCCCTACTCAGTAACAACACAACTAATTTAGCAGTGATTAACATGGAAAACAGACCTTCAGCCTGAATGCCTAACTGATACTGTTTTCAATTATGGTGGCCGCTTTGGTCTTTTAACAACATCAAGTGAGAACACAGTGTTTGTGAGCAGTGTTGGATTGACAGCAGAGAATATTCCAACTTTCCAGACCCTACTAGCCACATGCCTAAGCCTTTTTTGGAAGTATACTGAGTATGTTAGAGAGCTAAGATGAGGGGCACTCTAGGAGTAGCTTGCAGGAAGATAACAACATCCTTCCAGGGAATGAAACTCATCTGAGCATGCAACTAAAACATATAGATCCCTAGAGTGAAAAGGCTGTGCCATCTCCAGCCCTAGAGTTAGGTGGTGTAGCCCTGCCATATGCAATAGTTCCTAGCTGACACAAAGGAATCCTCTCTGAATGTGAGACAATGGATCAGTGTCTGTTCAGACCTGATCATCTCTGCTAACTACTAGCTCATGACTACCAGTATATGGTTACAACACAGGAAACTAAACAACATGGCTTTATGACACACACAACTTCAGTACCTCCTAACATTAATCAGTAAGTACTCACCAGGTCAAAAGCAGTTCTGCAGAAGACCAATGGCTCCAGCCAGCCCTCACCTGATGCAAAGAATATTTCTAGAGTACGAGGTCTTCTTGGAGGAGCAAAGTATGCAAGAAGTTAGTGCTTTAAATCTAAGAATTGCCCACACTGCAAGTCAGTGTTTTCCCTTAGGTAGTCTGAAACAAACAGAATTCAGTTCTATTAGGCCCAGGTTAAGAAAGTACATCTCCACAACTAGACGCACCACTGGAGAGAAGCCAACTTGCTCTTAGCCAAGTATGCACATTCTGGGTGCTCTTGGGCGAGTAACTATAAACCTGGAGTAATCCACAAGCAGACAAGAAGGGGACACGTCATACAATGGCAGAAATCCCTCAGAGGTGTATGAGACCTGGTTTGATGTACGAGACCAGATGCTGAGGCACCTACATTGCATCGGTAGTAGTAGCCAGGGAGGTAAAGTGTACTCTGCTGCACAGCATGCTTATAGCTCAAGGTAAGTTCTTCTTTGGTCTCTAGAGACTTCAAGATCTGGCTGCACTCTGGCTTACCATTTTTTCCCCTCTCCCTGCTGTGTGGCTTCTTGAGAATATTTCCAGTTTTCCTTATTTGTTTTAATAGCAATGCAACTCTTGTTTGTTAATGTATTTACCAGTCTTCAAAGCACTGAATATAAGTATTAAATATATACATAAATAAATGTTCTTAAAGGCAGTAAAGAAGCATGCTTTTTTTAGTATGTAAAATGGCTATTTTAATAAAACTTCATTTATACTGCCCAGTGCAGAATTACGGTACTCTCCTTCTGAAATTACACTTTAACATAGTGTTCATTACCCCAGCTCTGCAATTTTCATCATGTCTATATTCTAAAAGAAGAAGAAAAACAATATAGAAGCATCCCAGTGAAATTAAACTGCTACCCTGGAGAAAACAGGAAAAAAAAATGTGGACAGGGCTTCAAAATGGTTACGTGCACTTTAAAACTTGATTTTAAGCTGATGAAAATCAGCATGCCTCTGCAGAAGAAGATGAAATGATGCCAAAACACGCCAGGCAAGTATTTGACACTCAGTTGCACGCGGCAATTCCCTGGTCTGTGGCCGCTTTACAAACAGTTGAACTGGCAGTTTGCTCAGGCAGGTTTTCGACTTGTCCATGGAACGGCAAGTATTTTCTCACCTCTCGTCAGCATGGATCTGTAGCCAACATCTTTAAAAATCCATCCCGATCTCATTCAGCTCAAAGTTGTATATATTAAAATAAGGCAAGCCCTGAGATGAATTAGAGGCAAAGAGCCTCAGTGCACACTTGAACTCTATGTGCAGCTTTTGTTGACATCAGTGCAAGCTGTGTCTGCAAATCAGTGGCCCCCCTTTGTTATAGAGTAACAAATCTTTAGCACAGAGCCTGCTTCTGACAGAGCCAAAGCCTTCCTTTGAACAAGCACATTCTTCCCTCAGATTCACGCAAAGATATCCACCAGAGTTGCCAGATGACATGTTCAGAAAATCAGGATGCTGTCTTGGACCAGTAGGGCAGAGACTGGCTGACAAGGACGATACAAACCTGTAAAAATCAAGACTTTTGCTATTTATTTGAGATATCAAGAAAAATATCTCCAAAATAAGTCTGTCCTAATTTTAGTCATGGTAACTAAGCCCTAACACTCACTAATTGATAGGAATGATAGTAACGGCAGAAATATATCTGAGGCACATTCAAAGAATAATGCAGGGTCATAATGCAAATTTCTGTGCTCATAGAGTTAAGGACACATTTTGAAGGAATTAATTTAGGTACTCATAAGAGGGCAAGTTTTTTTCAGCATGTTTAGCATTGAAAATTTTCTGTTCTGTCTGTTTCTTTAACCAGATTTTCCAAAGGTCCCTGCTCCCCAACACTGAGAACTTTTGCAGATCTGAGACTCAATATGAACATTTCAAAAATATTGACTGAAGAATGCTGTTAACTTGGTTGGGAGAGGTACACAGCTCTGACTTGGAGTCCAGTAAGGAAACCCCAGTCACGGAGCACACACTGCTTAAACATAAGAAAATCCATTTTGTTTGTCAGAACTTCTAACCATGAAATGGTTAAAAATATTGAAAGGCCAGAAGTATCAGCACTGAGAGAGAGTGAGAGAGAATGGAAGGAGGAGTGTGGTACTGCGCTTTGCAAGCTCAGCAGTTCTTCAGATGTGGTCTGGCATCTAGTTCATAAAGTCAAGCAAATCTGCTCATTTTAGTCATATATACAGCCACATATGCACCGGCAGAGATATATACATAGATTTAAATTTATCTGAACAGTAAAATAAAGAACTATCATGTACATCTTTAGGAGGTCAGCAGAAACAAATATAGGAAGTTAGAAAAAAATAAAATAAATCATTGTATTGTCAAAGCACAAAATCACAAGCTGAACATTTCAGGTAAAGTGACATCTAAGGTATGTTTTCTCTAAGAGGACACTTACGATGATATAATTTGCACTGTCTGCTTCATTGTAAGTTTGTCATGATTTATTTATTTTTTTACTAGAATTGATTGGGCTACGTTAGAAAAAAATACTTTTTTTCTTTGTCCTAAAACACTATTTTGCCAGAGCAAAGTCATTTTGTGGAAATAGAGTAATTTGATATTTATTTTTTTTTTTTGCTAGAAACTTATAGAGGTCTCTCTTGTAAATTCTGATTACAGAGAGAAAAAGAGAAAAACGAAGGGGAAGAAAAACAGGAGAGAGATGCATGTGTACATTCATGTAGGAAAAAGAATTTTGGCACACGCCTGGGCAAATGGATGAGAGAGGAAGACGTGAATTCCAGAACATTGAAATACAGGCATGAAATTGAATTTTTCTCCCTAGGTCTGCTCCAGGTTTTTCTTATTGGAGTGCAGGATTTCTGGTTCTTCTGCATTCTTTCTTTTAAATTTCCATGGAATGTGGGATTTCTTGCATTGTGTCAGTGGTCATGCATCCAGACATAACACAAATTTTAGATTGACAATAATAGCAATCTAGAAAAAGATACATCAGATATGGTATATATATATTTATCAGCCTGTGGCAGAAAAAAAAATATTCCTACTGTCCTTAGGATTGGGTAACAGTATTTGAATTTATAACTAGGAATGCTTTTTCCTAAACAGCATGAGATATCTCAATTCAACAGTGTGGATGAGCATGAGAAGGACATGGAGGTCCTCGAGAGAGTCCAGAGAAGGGCAACAAAGCTGGTGAGGGGTCTGGAGAACAAGTCTTATGAAGAGTGGCTGAGGGAGCTGGGATTGTTCAGCCTGGAGAAAAGGAGGCTCAGGGGCAACCTTATTGCTCTCAATAGGTACATTAAAGGAGGTACATGGTCTATTCTCCCATGTGCCTGGTGATAGGATGAGGGGGAATGGGCTTAAGTTGCGCCAGGGGAGGTTTAGGTTGGATATTAGGAAAAACTTTACCGAAAGGGTTGTTAGGCATTGGAATGGGCTGCCCAGGGAAGTGGTGGAGTCACCATTCCTGGAGGTCTTTAAAAGACATTTAGTTGTAGAGCGTAGTGATATGGTTTAGTGAAGGACTGGTTAGTGTTAGGCCAGAGGTTGGACTAGGTGATCCTGGGGGTCTCTTCCAACCTAGACTGTGATTTTGTGATTCCATGAATTTGAAAGTGTGATAGACTATGAGGTGAACACGTAAAGCTCTAAGACTGAGAAAAATTTGGTTTACCAATGTAGACGGTAGATCCCATCCCATTTGCCTTTTAGCAGAAGGAAAGAAAGAGAGAGAGAGAGTGAGAGAGAGAGAGTGAGAGAGAGAGTGAGAGAGAGAGAGAGAGAGAGAGAGAGAGAGAGAGAAAGAAAGAAAGAAAGAAAGAAAGAAAGAAAGAAAGAAAGAAAGAAAGAAAGAAAGAAAGAAAGAAAGAAAGAAAGAAAGAAAGAAAGAAAGAAAGAAAGAAAGAAAGAAAGAAAGAAAAGATTTGCATTTTGCAATGCAAAAGGAAAAAAGACGTTTAATAGATCCCTCTCCAGACTGGAGCTTTTATGAAAGAATTAGACAGAGTGAAAACATGTGTGACTTTCTCAGCCTGCATGAAGCAGCATCTGATTTTTCACACTGTGTCATGCCAACTTAGAGAAATAAGAACCTATTGTTTTGACAGAAAATGGAAAATAGTATCTAACAACAAAATAAGTGCATCTTTGGATGAGAATGCCCACTGCCACACTTTGGATCATTCACATGTACAGGGCATTTCACAGCTCTTCTTTTGCCTGTATTTGCCACCTCCTTAAAGCAGAGCAGTTATGTTGTGCTACCTAAAGTAACTGTGGGAACTCAAAGCCTCACTTTTGGAACAGACAAGCTCAAGGGCAGCCTATAAACCTATAAGTTTTATGCTGCTTAGAGAAGATTAGCAACAGTGATGAGCCATAGCCTTTTTTTTTTCTACCTACTCCTCTTTCAGTCTACGCTGGTTATCTGCCCTCTCTACAGCTTGGTTTCCATGAATATCGTATGGAGATTGTCCCAATCTTACAGTAAGGATTCACTTCCTATGCTAATAAAGAACGGAGGAACATTTAGTAAAGAGGATAGGCTGTGAACAAAGCATCCTCTTTGCCCAAGGAATTCATTACCATAAGGACGCTGTGGCCCAAGGGTTAGGCAGGATTCAAAAAAAGCCAGACATTTTCAAGGCAAGCAAATACATCAAGAGATAAAACACTGTGTGTGATTATGCATTTTTAATATATACATGCATACATACTTATGTATATATACATATATGTACATGAAATAAATATGTGAAAAGCAAGGCATGATTCAGAACTGAAACCAATCTGTATTGACTAAAGAAGGCACTTTATTGGAATTGATTATTCCTCAGACGCCCTGTTGTGCTTCCTGTAAAGCAGCTTGAATTGGCTGTTGTAAAAAATCGTTTCACTTGTCTTAGTCCTATAAGCTCTCACAAAAAGGAAAGTTCTTGGACCTTCATACAAGTACCCAACATCTGAGAGATACCCCTGTCATGCTACAGTCCATCTGAGTCAGCTGCTGTTCCTTTTAAAGCAGAAGAACTGCAGCTTATGATATCCAAAACTAGAAATTTTGGGGCCAGGCCAGATTGTATCTGGTTTGCCAGAGCCCTGCATCCTTCACAGTGTTTATACATGAAGATGATGATGGTGGTGATAAAATAAACTAAGAGATCAGTTTAGAAAGTTCTCTAAATGATGCCATGCTTTGTAACTCATACTTCATACTTCCACTACAGAGGCTATAGGGTGAGCACAGCTTGGTGCCATGCTTCTGTAATGCAGCTGTATCCCAGGCTCTCTGTAGACCTTCTTCTCTTGCAGCCTGTGAGTCTGGGCCATTGATGCTAAGGCGCCAAGACTTTTCTTTCTAGCTAATAGAGTGTACTAATATCACAACCCCGGCTGGTGGGGTACAGAAAGGTGGAGAGCACAGTGGGGAGAAAGGACATGGGTGGGGCAACACAAGGTGGTAACAAAACCTACCTAAGGCCTACCTAGAGATTACCTACTCCCTATACTTGAGTCCAAGCTTTGTCCAAACAGAGTTGAAACCACTTTCAAAGTACACATGGCCTTCACCTGAAAAACTTTATTTTTGTAACTAATAATTTTAGTGTCTTGCCTCTAATTTTTCTATTTGACAAATTGTACTCTTTATTATAATCTTTAATTATTATAGATCTAAATCCCCTATAAAACAGCTGCAAATTTTCTATTGAAATGATCTTTTTCTTCTGTTTATTTTCTCCTGCAATGCTATTCTCTGCTGTACAATTGCATTTGCCTGGGACTATGGAAGGAGTTAGGTAAATCAATTTTAAGCAAACCATATATTGTATGCTTATATAGTTTCATTTCCAATAAATAACCTGGAATAGCTAGTCAGCTTTACATGCAATCTTAATTTGAGTTTCATATGCATAATGGAAGCAAGGAAAAATGGGACAGACTTGAGAAGGGAAGAAAGATTATATGGCTACAAGCACAGTGCGATGTAAACTCATTTACAAGGGCATCTGCATCTGTATGTCCAGTCAAGTGGCACAGTGAATTGCGAGGGGATTATTGATTTCAAAATGACTTAGCTGCAGCCATGCAGTACTGAGAATACCTTATTGCTTCCCTTAGCTTCATGTACCAATTTGATCATATTTTGTGTATGTCTCAGCAGTCACAGATGTAAGTCCTGAAAATAAGGTGATTAAAAGGGCAACAACCACAAAAAGAAAAAAAAAAAAATAAAAAGAAGAAAAGCAGTTTCTCACCACATAAGAGATCAGGTTTGCACTTTAGTTTCAAAAGATACAAATATTATACTTACCTTTGAAACAATTCAAATGCAACTTCTTACAGAAATGCTGAGCACCAGCCCTCTGAAAATCTGGTCCCATCCAAGCAGGAGCCACCCAAACAGATTTAGATTGCTTTTAAGTCCTGAAACTTTTAACTTCCGAAATCAGCATGGGTACAACTTACTGAATGTGTGCTTAGTATGGAGCTAAGAGAACTTTGAAATTGCCCATTACAAGC